CTTGTGAAGGCTGAACAGGTTCAGGTCCCGCAGTCTCTCATTGTAAGGTCTGCCCTGTTGTCCCCGGATCATGCGGGTGGCCCTCCTCTGGACCCTCTCAATGTTGTCCACATCCCTCCTGAAGTGGGGCGCACAGAACTGGACACAATACTCCAGCTGTGGCCTGACCAGTGTTGCATAGAGGGGGAGGATCACCTGCTTGGCCCTGCTAGAGATACACCTGTGGATGCATGACAAGGTGTGGTTAGCCCTTCCAACCGTGACCTCGCATTGTCGGCCCATGTTCGTCCTGGAGTCAGTAATGACTCCAAGATCCCTTTCTGCCTTTGTGCTCTCAAGAAGGGAGTTTCCCATCTTATAAGTGTGCTGCTGGTTACTACTGCCCAAGTGCAGCACCCTGCACTTGTCAGTGTTGAAGCGCATCCTGTTTTTGCCAGCCCACCCCTGTAACCTATCCAGGTCCTGATGCAGTCTTTCCCTCCCTACTAGTGTGTTCACCTCACCCCAAATTTTGGTATCATCAGCAAATTTAAACAGCATCCAAATGCTGTTTAATTAAGGAATTACCAGACATGTGCTGGTGTCTCAATACAGCACGCTAATAGAGAACCTTCAGCTACCAAAAAACCTTTTTTCTTTTGTTTCCCTTTTTGGCTGTTTAAAAGAAGGAGAGTTCCTTGCTTTCCTTCTTTGCTTTCCAGAAGCTCCATCAGTTCTTTTTCACATACCTTTTCAACAGTATGAAGAAAGAAAGAAAAGAACGCTTCTATTTCTTTATCTCTTTTTACTTTATTGATTCAGTAGCTCAGTTGTAGTAAGATATTTAGATGCATACTTTTTTAGCAGTGCAATAACAAGAAAGGTGCTGTCATCTACTGTATCATTGAAACTTGAGATCTGCTGCTGTTTTAGACGCTCTAAACCAGTGGTTCTCAATCAGAATGCCAGGGCAGCCTGGGGTGCTGCTGGATCTCTTGAAGAGTGCCCTGCGCAGGCTCACGCTTGTTCCTGCTAGCTGATTCCCAATTCCTACTGCCAGGACCTCTCTTCAGGCACACAAACTGTGATCTGTAAATTAGTTTTTGAAGTGGGATGCACTCAGTTCACAAAAGTTGTAGAGCGATATCTCAAGTGTAGTGGGGGGTCTCAAGTTCAAAACGGTTAAGAACCGCTGCTTGTAGAGATGCAGAAACTTGAAGCATAGCAACTCCTCTGAATGTCTTTCTTCTACTGTTTTACCAATCAAGTGGGCTACCATAGAACTTGTCTGGTGTTCTTGCACCATAATGAATATAAATCTAATAAAATGCATCTAGCTGAAGTAGGAAAATAAGATATTTGAAATAAATGTTATGCAACTAATGGTCCAGTGTATTTTAGCCTTTGTTTGTGAACTGGGACTCTTTCTCTCTCTGTGAAGCAGTGCTTAGTGCTCTGGGGGGGCCCCCAACTAGTGTTTGTAGTTACCTAGCTCTAATGGAATTAATCTTATTTCTGCTTGGGAAGTAGTAGTATGTAAAGCAGCAGGAAAAGATCAGATACTATTTATTGTGCTTATATGAATACAGTAAAAGCTGCATTAACTGGCATGAGTGGGGAATGCAGCATGCTGGTTATATAAAAATCCCGATTTGCCTGAGGCAGGAGTTTTTGGCCGGATGCAGTGGGAGGAGTGGTGGCCAGACACAGGGTGGTGGGTGGCAGCAGCAGCCGCCACATGCAAGCTTTCGCCACGCACCCCCCCCCCCCCCCCCC